GGGGTTTAGGGTTTAGGATTTAGGGCTTAGGATTTTGGGGTTCAGGGTTTAGGATTTAGGGTTTAGGATTTGGGGGTTTAGGGTTTAGGATTTAGGGTTTAGGGTTTAGGGTTTAGGATTTGGGGTTTAGGATTAGGAAACCCTGGCCGTATAACCCCAATATATTAGGGTTCATATTAAGAACCCTTATACAGAGCCAGGGTTTCTTAATCAGGTTCCTACAGTAGGAAGCGACACGTAGCGACACAGCGACCTCGGCCAGAGGCACCTTTCAAGGCTCCTTTAAGGGTTCCTTTAAGGCACCCCTTTGGGGTTGGAGGCACCTTTAAAGGTTCCTTTAAGGGTTCCTTTAAGGAGGCACCTTTGGGGTTTAGGGTTTAGGGTTTAGGGGCACCTTTACACCGAGGCAGATCTGTGCTGCAATCGCCCATTTGCACGCAAGAGGCATCTGTTGCTCGGATGGAGTTTGGAGTGGCAGCTGAGCTTGCACGGAAAGCGCTAGAAGTGGACTGGCTTAGGCCACCGTGATATCAAGCCTGGAAACTTCATGTTTTCGTCTGGCCTCTTGAAGCTTTCTGACTTCGGCTTTGCCACTTTCCTCCGGACGGATGAAACGAGCAAAGAGGATGTCGGCACGCCAGCCTACATGGCGCCGGAGCAGCACCTCCTGAAGAAGGGGAGCAAAGGTTATGGACATCCGGTGGACGTCTGGGCTGCGGGCTGTACACTGCACATGCACCTAGGACCGACTAGTTTCCTTAGCTGCGCACATCCAAACTCAACAGTCAAGGCTTGTCTCCGGCGGCCGCCATCCCTTCATCAAGACAAAGGCGAACTCGAAGCAAGTCCTGGACATGGAGAAGCTCTATGCCGGTACCTTGGACTTCGGCGCCTCCATGCTCCTTGGAGCGAAGACTGTCGAGCTAGCTCTCGCAGGCGAGACTTCGAGCGTTCTCTGCGTTTCAGGTTGGGCGGGCTGATGGGAGGCGCCTTCCAGGCCGCAGCGCCGGAAGCACGAAGCCTCTGTCAGCGAATGGTGTGCCCTGACATCGAGCGGCTTGGCCTCAGTAAATCTCTGAGCCTCTGATATACCTTGCTGACCGAAGCATCTCCTTATAGATTGCTATGGTATGATATAATATAACCCCAAAACCATATTGTGGGTCTTGAGTCTGGGATCGTGGCCCTGTGGCCGAGCCGCCTCCTAAACCCCCGTAGTCAGCACCTCAGTCGGAATGGGCCCGGTCAATTTCACTTATGGATTGGAGTGGTTGGCTTTGCGTCCGTTCAGCCTGCGTGCTGCATCTGCCTATCAGTGTTACCGTGCTTCGAGCTTGGACTGTTTTTCATCAAAGTCTTGATGGGGTTCATGTTGCTTCATGATTTGGTGCTGCGATGTAAATACTTCCGCGTCTCGACGTTGTCTCCAAGGAAAAGCGGCAAACGGTTTGGATAAACAAGAGACGTTCCTTAGACATACATCTGTGGTCGCAGCCAAGGAAGCGGCTTTCCGCTGACGACGTGCTGCAGGACAGCTGGCTCACTCGCACATCACAGGAAGCGATCCTGAACGCCGGGACCCTGTCCTCACAGCCTCCTGTAAGTCGGCTTTTCGGATCCCTAAAACCCTAAACCGTCGCCAGGCACCGAGCCTGACGGAGCAAGGCAAGGCAACGGTGGGTTCAGCTTCGGGCCTGAGCAGTTCAAGTCGTCGGGAGCGTGCTCAGGCTATGCGCAGCATTTCCGACAGCTTCAGCAACAGCTGGCCATCGCTGAAAAGCAACTCAAGGAGCTATTTCAAAGCTGCAGGTGCTGTGCCTATTTATATTTCCCCCTTAGCGGGGCCCTTATAGTAACCCTTAACCCTAAACCCTTGCTGCTGGAGCACTGACCATGCAGGAGGCGGAAGAGCGGGAGCTGACACTGAAGAGCAGATTGCAAAGCCAAGATGATTCAGCCGCAACCTCTGCTGTGTGCTTTCGCTTCTGGCTCCTGAAAGCTAAGAGCAAGAGTAGGGCTAAGAGTATGCTTATGAGTGAGAGCAAGAGTAGGGGTAAGAGTGCGAATCAAGACTAGGCCTGATCAGTAAGTAATAGGTAGTATGTAGCAACGTGCAAGAGGTACGTGGCATTAGCGAACAGTACGAGAGTAAGAATAAGATGATTGGCAGCAATAGCAGTAGCAGTAGCGGTAGCAATAGCAGTAGGACTAGCAATGGCAGCAGCAAGTGGTAGTAGTAGCAGCAGGAAGGTGGAGTAGATGGAGCAGGGGATGTAACCGTCGTTGTCGTGACGCTGGCGGTGCCGTTCCTGCTACTGGAGGGCCAGTGCTGCAACTTCTATGAACAGTTAACAATCACTAGAACAAGTTTCCTCATCAGCATCGTCATGACCGTTGTCGTGATCATCAGTACCATCTTACTAGAGTCACGGCCATCTGAAGGCTTAAGTTCCTGCTGCGTGTTGAGAGAAAGCCTGGGCTCACGCATGATTTGGTGTGCCCAAGGTGATGGTTGTCAGCATTCCTCTAACACTTCCTGAGTGCATGAAGCGATGCTATTCCTGTGCCTCGTGTACAAAGGCAAGCCCGGTTCAGAAAATTGACAGAGAACGCGTGGTGAGGTGACGTTGTCGACTTGAAGAGTCGAGGTGTTGCGGGCAAAAGCCCTCGACACGGTAGCAAGTTCACTCCCACCTGAGGCATTGCTTGCAATTCGGTTTCTCCCAAAGGGAGAAACCGAATGCTAACGACCTGAAGCTCGGAGTTCTTACGGTTCTTGCAGCCCAGTTCTGGCAAACAGCCTTCGTGCACATTCATGCACTCGTACTCGACGAACATCTTCACGCCTTTTTGAAGTGCAGTGATAGGCGATTTACGAATGCATAAATCGCCAAGAAGCAACATCAAAGAAGTAGGAAGTATCTTCAGTAGCCCCAGTACGTTGCCTGCCGAAGTCCATTTTTGTGGTCCAAAACGTCTTTCCTGGTGAGCGCCTGCGTGTCCGTTCGGAGAACCGACGCAAGGGTCAGGATCTCATCTTGGAATTGCTGTTCAGCTGATTCCTGTCGACAGCATGCAGTGACACTTTGGGAGTTTCCGAAGATAAGGGGTACCTTACTTTGGAGTCCTTATAATATAATATAATATAATATAATATAATATAATATAATATAATATAATAAGGATCCTACTACCTGACCGAGGCCATGATGCAAGTTTTCAGGTCGAGGAGCGTGAATCTGTGCCGCTTAGCCACTTCGAGATGCTTCTCTCTGAATACCGGCGGCCCTGCTACCGGCCCGCTTTCAGGAGCCAGACTCAGTAGTGTCCTCCAGGGTGTCATTTCTGAATTGAGAGTCGAACTTTGTCCTGCAGTGAAAGCACAGAGTACGAAGCTGATGGGCTGCGGAGGAATACGAATTTTGGACCTGTCCCGCATCCTGGCAGGCCGCTTCCAGCGTTGTGCAGTTGGGTGGTTGTCAAAATAATGGTTCCTTTTTGGGTCCGTAATATAATACGGCACCTAATCTTTAGGCTACCCAAAAAGGGACCGTAATTTTGACAACCACCCAGTTGCCAGCAGGTGCCCCGCAAGCTTAGTGCAGATCTTGCACCCTGTGAGGACCATCGGCAACAATGCTGATGGCCGACATGGGAGCAGAGGTTATCAAGGTGGAAGCGCCCAAGTCCGGTGATGACACCAGACGTCTCTTTGATGCAGGCTTGTATATTATACTATAATTATAGTAGTTGCAATTCCATTATACTATGATTACATTACGGAACCCCCAAAATAGCATAGGAAATTATTTAGGCCCTGCGAAATACTAAGACCCAGCTTCTGACAGCGACTCCGAGGTTATGCGCCGCCCTTTCTGCAGAAGGGCCCCGGTGAGGACTCAGATGTGGCAGCATACTTCACGAGCTGCAACAGGAACAAGTACAGTGTGGCTGTCGACTTCAAGACCAAAGAAGGCCAAGATGTCGTGAAACACCTGCTTGGAAGTGCTGATATCGTCATCGAGAACTTCAAAGCCGGTGGCTTGGCAAAGCTTCTCGGCTCAATGTTGGCCCCTGAAAGCCGCCACGAGTATCGTTCTTTCGGTGGTCTGCTTTTGTTTCTTTGCGAAGGTATGGCTTGGGATACGACCAGCTGAAGGATGACTTCCCTCAGCTGATTCTGAAAACGCAAGAGCAGCGTTTTCCTTGCTGTCGATGCATGGATCTTCTTCAACTCTATGCCATGGCTTGGCGAAGTTTAGGGTTCAGGATTTTGAGTTTGAGGTTTGGGGTTTAGGGATCTAGGGTTTGGGGGGTGAGTTTAGGGTTTAGGGTTAGCCGTGTGCTACCCTAGGATCTATTGCAGCATCACTGGCTTTGGCCACACTGGACCTTACAGCAAGAGACCTGCTTATGACATGCTGATCCAGGCCAGGCCTGGCGACTGCTTTCTTCAGGGCATTGGGATGTAGGGTTTAGGAGTTATATGTGCGTATATCTTATATATATATATATATATATGTATATGTGTATGTGTATATATACACACAGATAGAATAAGCACGATATATCAACATCTTGTATTTTAATAGCATGCGGCATAGCATTATATTACATACATATATACATATATTTGTATCTGTTTATGTATATCTATATTATTCACAATAATACTAAACAGTGATACTAGTAGTGAAAATAATACCAAGAAACAATAGCAATAACGAGCAACCAAACAGACAAACAAACAACATAACTGACTAACTGGCTAACTCACTAACTGGCTGGCTGGCTAGCTACCTAGCTAGTTAGCGAACTAACGAACCGAATAACTAGCTAGCTAGCTAACTATCTGACTGACTGATTGATTGACTAACTAACTAGCTAACTGACTAACTAACTAACTAACTAAACTAACTAACTAACTAACTAACTAACTAACTAACTAACTAGCTAACTAGTCAACTAACTAACTTCTAACTATATGACGGCATGGCAGTGCCAAAAGCTGCAAAAGCCAATGACGAAAACCTCGGCAGGACCCTACAAATCTGCACACACATGCAAAGCTTGCTGCAGTTTTCAGCCAAACCCATTCATGGCCCAGCAAAATCAACAAAACTCGTGGCCCTGTCATGCAGCGATGAGCGTTGAATTTCGCCGGAACTCCAAAGCAAGAGCTTCACAAACCCTGAAGCATGAACCCAACCCATATTTCCCCAGAATCAATAAACAAACTCCACGTAAGCCTTTGCCCTGGGCCCGGTAGACCGTGAGCACCCTAAGCCCCAAACCCTAAACCCTAGACCCAACCCCAAAATCTTGCCGTCACAGGGCAACCCGTTTGACGTGCGAAGCGCTACAGCGGGCCCCGCTGCGACGCCGACGCCCTCCTGCGTACCTCTGAGGCCTCGATCAAGGCACAAGAGGCCTGACCCTAATCCCTAGTATGTAAGTGAGTACCCAACGTGTAGGCACTCGGAAAGTCAGCAGCTAGCATTGCGGAGAGCACATGTTCAACTGTTCCCGGGACCCTGAGTGTGAACCCTAAAGCAAAAAGATACATTGAGTGCTGCCTTAAACTCAAAAGGCTTAGGGCATAGGGATTACGGTTTAGGGCAGTTTGGAGGTGGTTATTTCGGAGTTGGGGCGGGTTGAGTTTATGCCTACTATACCCTAAACTGCAGGGCTTCGGCGTAAGCCCGTAGCAGACGAACTTTTTCGAAGGGGAATCAGGTCCCCACAAGGCTTGAGGACCGCACAAAATGCTTCACGGCTTTTGCGGATAACTGGAGGGGCCTCAATGAGTCGAACAGGATTTAGGGTTTAGCGTACGGTATTTTGGACAACAACTGACAGGGACAACCATTACTATTTCTCGGGGGCCTTATATGTTCGGCCGGGTTTCGGGCGTTAGAGTTTCAGGTTCTAATTTAAAGTCTCGCTCAAATTTAAGAGTTTTGGACTCAATTTCGGAGGACTCCAAGGCAGCGGCATTCGCAGCCCTAGTGTGGGCTTTGCCCAACATGTTAGACACCAACACGTATCAGAATCGACACACACGTAGATTGCACGTTTGTCATATTCTGAAGTACATTGCTGTACTCAACCCTAAACCCTAAACCCTAAAAGGCCCCCATGTCGAGCCTCGGAGGGGCGGTGAGGCAATCGGCATTGACTCCGTCATCGCATAGGTCCTCGGCTAGATACGTACTCTTCCGAGCCAAGCCGGTTGTGGGTCTAGGCTTGAGTTTGTCTTTTTGCTAGCTCCTCTTGCGTCAGATTCTCGCGCCGTTTCCGCAAGGCCTGTAGGCCAGCACTTCGGGTTTAGATGTGTTCTTTTGCGGTTGCGTGGCGGGAAGCAGGCTTAGCGAGAACTAGATGAAGGCAAACACTGCAACACATCCGAAACCCCAGAGATATGTACCAACAGTCAGCTCGGTTTCCCTGTTCGAAGCTATTAGGTCGACTGAAGGTGTCTGGAGACGTTTTCGGATCCACACCCAAGCCCCGAGCGCTAATTTGCTCCATCTACATTCCCAAAGATGGTCACCCTGGGATAAACCTAAAGCGTGGATCCCACCAGCCGGTTCAAAGCTCAACCCCAAAAACCCAACGCCCAATTGTGGGGTTCAGTAGTAACGTGGCGAAAACAGCACTACATCCGAAGTCTATTCTCTACACAACACAAAGTCGATCAGATGGAGCTACGCCATCGGTCGGATGAAGAACGAAACTCTAAACGCCGACTGAGGGCTCTTGGGGTTTAGGGTCATAGGCCCCCCTCCCTCCGCAAGCAAGCAATGCGGGTCGTATCGCTTGTGTGCTTCGTGTGAAACCCGCAACATGAAACTCTCGACCGGGGCTCGGTAGCACCTCGGTTGCCATCTTCCTCTCCAACCTCACGGCACTTCTGAGGCCAGGGGTGTCAAGACGTGCGGAATCCGAGAAGACCGATTAGGGCCTGCTCCTTCACAAGCAAAGCTCCTAAAAGCCCAGCTTGCGTAGAGTCCGGGTAGGTTTATGTAGGGTCTGAAGTCTCCAGGGGCGCTAAACTTAGACCCTCAGCCCGTATTACTAAAGTTCTAAGGTCTACATTCAGGGTACCATCCGCTGCAGAACCAGAAACCTGCATTTTGGGGTATCTCTTGTGTGTCGGACCTCGGTCTTCAGAGCTTGATTCTCAGTCTCTCGGCCCTTTAGACCTGAACGAAAAAAGCAAGTTTCATTGGCTTCTTGGGCTTGTATCCTAGCCATCAGGAGAGAAGTCCTGAGGAACACCAGGGTAGTAGAGCCTATCAAGTGTTTTGGGCTTAAGGCTTGCAACTTTACTGCGGCAGGATTAGGGAGTTTCAGGGTTCAGGGCTGAGAGTGTAGGGTCTCGCCCATCAGCCCGTCAAAAACCAGGCAACCGACCGACTTGCCCGGAACTAGCCGCCAGAGAAACCCGAACTCGTGAAATCCCATAAAAACTCTAAGCCGCGATTATGATGAAGAAACCCTAAGTTGATATCATAATCAAGGGTAGGCCCAGATGTATGGAGATCTGACTCAGGAAGTCCCAGCCCTAAATCGCCGAAACCATCAGCCGCCGCGCTTCGCCATATTCATCCCTGCGACTGTCAAACCCTGTTCGCTCTCACCCCGACATCCGAAATCCTGAAGCCTGCCGTGGAAGCCCGCAACAAGGCCTTGGGCTTTGATTTGGGACTTGGATTTACGTTTTACTGTTTAGGGTGCAGGGATTCAGGATTTAGAGTTTAAACTTTCTGGGTTCCGGGTGTCGGTTTTGTCCGTCCTCGTCCTGAGCATATCAGAAGACCTACCTGCATTCATAAGACTGGCCCAGGCCCAGGCAATTCTATGACCTCCAACAAAAAAGGCTGTCAACCAGACTACGAATCAACACACCCTCCCTTTTGTAAGGGCCTTCACATGAAGGTCCATATGATGTAAGGGGTGTGTCTATAATCAGGTCTCTTCAAGACAGTTACAGGCTTACTGCTGTAAAGCACAAACCCAAACCCCTCAAACCTAAACCCTCGATCCAAGAAATGCAAAATTCGGCTTCGCGACCTACTTGGTATTATAAAGGAGCTTCCTCAGCCACATAGCCTACGCCCCAAGCCGCTGTAAATCCCAAGCTCCGAGCTCCGATATGGGGGTCGCAGGATTAGCAATGCTATCCCCATACTGTCCCCAGAGGTTGTACATGAATGTACTATATTGCACCTCAGAGCCCATTTCTCTTTGCCAAAACCGGCAACTCCGCAGCCAACGAGGCAGGGAGGTGCGCGGAGCAGTTCCGAACGATCCTGTCAATCTGCTTAAGCTTTATAGGAGAGTTTAGGATTTTGCCTTATCAGGGTGTAGGGTGTATGGGTCGAAGCTTGGGCAGTCTTGGGGCTGTGGTCGAAATCGGCGGGATTCCCCGCAGTAGTGATCCGATGTTGTTTGTGATTTGCATCCTCTGTCTGTCAAGCCACGGACCAGATTCGAAGGCCCATACCTCCGAACTGAAAGCCTTGAGCTGCGAACTCCACAGGCAGCCCCACACCCAAGACTCCAATGCTCACGGCCCTAAATCCTGAATCCCGAGTCTTTGCCAAGAATCGTAGACAGAGGGGTTATGGATATGAGATTGTTTGCAGGAGTTGATAGTCGTTGAGCTGCCACTAAGCATGTGCCATGTGTCCATGGGCCTGCTGTCATCTCTCGAGAGCTCTGAAGGCTTCGAGGCTTGAGCACTGAAGGGACAGATGAGCTTGACGAAGCTCTTCAGGCGTTCGTTATATCCGGACATCCAAACGAGCCGCACACAAAACCCTCGTCTGTCGAGCAACAAAGTCCTGAGGCTCTCGTAGGAGGAGCCGGTGGGCAAGGATTCCAGAATGGCATGGTGTGCAGAAGGCACCGCAGAGTAGACGGAGATGCCTCCGGCACGCGAAAGACTACGAGCAAGAACGATAACATGCAGCAGTGTAGGACCCGGGATAATCAGAAGAGGGTTTTGCTGTAAACTATACCGTGGCTGTAAAGTATAACGTAATGCTGATGATAACGATAACAATTTATAATCCGATTGATAGGAATGCCGGTGATCCACTGATAAGATCTGATAAGTGCGTCCTGGCCCTAAACCCGAGGTCCTTAGTCCCGAAACCTCTCAAGCCTAAATGCTACCCTGAACCCGCCTTGCCAGCTGAAAGCTTCTAGAACTTCACAGCTAAATGCGGCAAAAGCGAAGCCCGGCAAGTGCGTCAGTATTGACATCCTAGAGCAGTTCAGGGTTTAGGGATCAGGGATGGCGGTTTAGGGATCACTGTTCAGGGTTTAGGACGATCGACACGGAACGTCGTCAAGCTCCCAGGTTAAGTGACGTGGGGGCGAGGGGGGGTAAACCCAAATCCCCGACCCTGAGCCCTGAGATCCAAACCCTGAACCGTGAAGCCCTCCTAATCGTAAATCATAAAGCTGGTTCACCCCAAAATACTCCCCTAACAACACCTACATTCTGGACTGGACTAATGCAGACCCCTAAGCACGAAGCCACACAGAACCATGCTGGCCTTCCCCTAGCTGCTTGGCCGCAGCGGCTGCATCGAAGCTGGGAAGGCAAACGGCCACAGACCCAGCTATGGCGGGAACAAGCCTTCGTTGACGGTACAAAGGGGCTTCTAAGGTCAGAGGAAGTGGAACCTACCAGCAGCCAGCCGTACCACTTATGAAGTAGAAACTAGGCAGAACATGGCTCTGAGCTGACCGTTGTTAAGTTGTTAAGGACCGCGGGTTGTCATTGAAGCTGCAACGAATTGTAGACCATGAACGGGCATATGCAGCTGCAACTCTGTTTGCAACATGGCCCGCAATACGCAGCGATTCTATGCTGGATATGTTGGCAGATCAAGTGCACTGGCCTACCTGACTATACCGGTAGGTTGTTACATTGCAACCTGCGAAGCTGAACTCCGACACCCTCTAGCTTTGCAGATGGCTGAAGTCGGAATAGCGTAGATATTCGGGACAACATATCAGACGACGGCACATCATGACAGGTATGGAAGTCATGCACAGGAGCACGAATTCTATTCACCATCTCTGCTTGAACAATAGCTGACCCCAAGCGCCGCAGCAAGGAATGGGATGTACAAAGCAAGCTTCTGAGATCTAAGCATTTGCCTCTTAGCAGCAGCACAAATGTGTGATGGGGCTAGACATTCCGGGCATCACGAGGTTTCAGTCATGTCCGCCCCTTCCCATGCGGTGGAAGTGGCACATTCACGATCAGTCCGTGAATATGAAACAGCGGCAGGCAGTTCATCACCACGTCGCCTCAACATTGCGGAGGCTGTCCCAACCCTTGAGGGGGAACCTCAACTCGCACACTCCGACTTCCGGGTGCACTTTGCGGCTTAAGCCGGAGTTTGTCAGGTCGAGGGACTGTCAGGGTTCTAACCCAAATGGCGGAAGAACAAAAACTCCTTACAACTACAGATACCCCAGGAAGCTCCCTGCAACCAGGGTAAGGAGACAGCACATGCAATCTTATTCACAAGGGCCGAGAACCAACATAGCTGACGGTCGGAGACGAGAAGATCGTTTCGAAAGATTCCGAGTTTAGAGTGTAGATGGAAAGAGCCCAGATTCCTGCAAGTCAGCCCAACCCTACACCCAAGCACAAGACGAAATAAGTATCCAGGCCCCAATGCTACCAGCATGCTCGGACCAACTTGAAGGGTAGAGGCGATGCAGATTGACCCGCTGCATAGATTCCTTGATGGTAAGGCTGCTACAAGTACCAGAAACTCAAGGGGTTCGGGGTGTCAGGGTGTTGTTCTTTGAGGTCCCTTGTCCGGTTGTCTGGTTTTTTGAATCCGGGTAGGGTTAGGCTCAGGGGTTAAGCGGTCTGCTCAAAAAACAATGGCGTTCCAGGTTTTGAGACCAAGAACGACGGGTGTAACCCGGTGTCTTGAGAGCCTTGGGGGTGCAGCCACCTTCACATCGCTACAAGCATAGGTGCCTTCTCAACTGGAACAGTCTTGGGGCATATTCCACAGCACGCATACATATAAGCAAGGGCAGCCCTCAAGAAGTAGGCTCTTGAAGTGTAGCGTTCCGGTGCACCTCGAACCGCCAATGTGTCCGAGGCACGCGTGGGTGAGAGGTACGAGCTTCGGTCTGGCAAAGAGAATCGGGGAGGCGGGGGATTCGGAGTGTAAGGTTTACCCTCTCTAGCCGGGAAAACAATAATTTAAAAACATATCTTATATATATATATATATATATCTCTCTCTCTCTCTCTCTTTCTTTGTTTATATTTATGTATTTATACTCCCCGTAGCCCAGAAAACGACATGAGGACAGAATAGGGTCTTGGGGCAGTATACTGTAGGTACATGGGGACTATAAGGGTATACTACCTTCCCTCGACCCTGAAACCACTACAAACCCATTCAGGCTTCTACATTTGCAAAGGACCTGGGCCAGCTCCGACAGGCCTGAATCCTCTCCACGATCAGTTTAGGGCTTATGTTTGGGATTTGAAGTTTCTTTGAGGGCTTAGGGTTGTTTTTAGGGCTTAGGGTTTAGTTTAGGTTTGTAGGCTCAGGGTTCAGACTTTGAGGTGTTCAGTTTTGTTCCGTTAGAGCCTCCAGGGTAGCTCTAGAAGAGCAAGGAGGAAGGCGTTCGAACTCCACAGCCTCTCTAACTAGAACCGAGTTCGAGGCTCTGTCACAGCATGGCTGTGCAGGGACTGTAAGCTAAAAAACACCCCAGACCCCTTGCGCCCTTTCGTAAGATCCCTTTTTTCAACCTCTTTGGCCTTCGCGTCGATCCACTGGTATGTAAGGCGAGGCCCACCTCGTCGCGGCTCCCTGGGTTTCGGCTTAAGCGTGACATCGGGGCCCGAATACGTATAGGGTGGTGTGTCACTATTCACTGGAATAAGGGCTGTTTATCGGGTTTTCCCTGATGCAGCCTTACTGAGTACCTTGAAGCGGTTTTTACGATTGATTGTGCACGGCACTATTGAGAGACTAGCAGGCCGATAGTATTACTGATTACTCACGACCGTGGCCTATAGTAGAAGCTGTGCATCTTACAAGTCTGGGTCTGGGGCTTTTCGCAGTGGAGGGAAGCTCGGGTTGCAAAAACTTTGGGTTTTCGTGTGGTGGGTGAATCCTGGACTCTGGTGCCTAACAGAACTGGGTCGAGGCTTCTTGCGGAATAGGTCTTGGGAGCCTTGGGCGTCCAGGATTCAGGGGGATAGTGAGCAGTGCTTAGTCTTGTTGGCTTGGTTCAGAATTGGAGCTGTAAACCCGCATTTAGGGTGCAGAAACTGGGGCGTGAAATTGAGCTGCCAGGCTTTGTGGTTCTGAAAATGCGTGGCTTGTAAAATTTGATCTGGAGTTCAAGATTCAAGGGTCGAAGTTTGTGCTTCTGGTGGCAAACGCTCTGCACCCGAAACCGATGCTCTCATTCGGTTGGAGTTGCGTGTTACCAGCTCTGGCATCTCGCCGCTGTAGCCGGCTGTCATCGGTGCAGAGGGATCGGAAGCCTCGGCTGCGCAGGCGCCAAAATCCAAGCGCGAAGCTTCATGTCGTACCGTTTCTTGAATAACTGCCTTTGCTTGTCTATGCTTGCGCCGTCTCGTCGGATATGGCCGACCGGACTGATACTCGGACATGCTGAGTCTAATCTCATTGCTACGACGAAGCCACTCATCTAAGACGACGTGATCGACGACGCTCCCGTTACAGCTAGAACAACATACGATCAGTACTTCTATTCGGACGCAGACTGATGTGGTTACCGACACCAGAAGCAGTTGAATAATGCATCATGATACCTTTGTCGTCAAGTGGAGCTACCCGTCTGTAAAGACCAGAGTCGTCACTCTGAAACTGGCAGGGTCCGCCTCTTCATGATGTAGTTACGACGCAGGCAAGTTAGTACGGTGCAGTGAAGACGCTGCTTGTGGCTTCGCTCTGCAATGAAATGTGTATGCTGCTTTACATGGCCGGCTAAATCGTGTCTGTAAAATCTTGCAGCTGTCATGGTTGAGCCAGGATGCAAATGCAGACCAGAGATCTCCCTGGTTTATATTCTGTATAAAATGATTGCCTTAGAATAGGGTTGGGGTTGCAAATTATGTTCCCTCCATGTGCCTCCAGAGAACCGGGCCGGAGGCACCATGCAAAGTAAAGAGACCCGCTGTATCCGTGGATGCCCTGAGCTTCATCACCTTCAGGCGGGGGGAGTCCAAACAAGACATCCGAATGAGCCCGCAAAATGCTGGGTCTTACAACAGCAACTGCGACGACGACGGCGAGGAAGAGGATGCCGACGGCGACTACTCTGATGTCTGATGACATGTTTTGCGCCACGCAACTGTTGACTGGTATAACTACACGAATACAGACCGCGCTGCAATCTACCTCTCTTTGAAGTTGTGCATTCCGTATGTTGATCATTTTGTTTTAAGGATACTTGAGCAACGGCTACTGTGTGATCCTTCGAGGTAATTCCGAACCTACATGTTTGCACACTCTTGCTCATAGAACGTCTTCTGGCATGTGTCCTTGAGGGTCTCGGCCTGGTGTCACACGAAGGCTCTCATTTATCCCTCCCCCCCGCAGCCGCGAACCGTGACGAAATGCCTGAAGAATATACGCCGACACGCAAAAGAATTCTTGCGTGCAGCAAGGCCCGTGGCCCAACCACCAACTCTCGATGCAGAGCTGTTAGTGCTAGCAGGATTCGTTCCAATTTTACTACGAACAGAAGTGGTCATGCGAATGATAAACGGATGTTTGTTTCAGTACTGTCGTAAACCCTAACCCTAAACCGACTTGTTGTTTCAGGTACTTGTTGGTAGCTAGACAGTGTCCCTTTCGACACCTCGGAGTCGTTCAAAGCAAATGGCTTTTGGTTCAGGGTTGTGACGACGGCCTCGAACACGTACTCAGAGGTAAGCCCCCTTCGGCTCGCCATGTTTGGAATACTACGTACCCAAAAACCTTATTCACAAATTGCAGTGTGGATGTACTTAAAACATCACATAATCCCCAAAGCCCTACTCACAAATCATGAAGGTCCATGCAATATAAAGCCCCGAAGCTTGCCTTGACACCCAAGCTCTTTGCAGCCATCTCCGCCAGGGCGACGGAAACACTGGCAAGGCCATCACTCAGCCTTGCTGTTACCAGGCTTGCGCTCATGTTCTTCCCCTTGTTTCCAAACGAAAATCCAGAGCTTAGGGCTCAAGGAAACACAAGACAACCTCCAGCCCGAATTCCATGAAACCCCGCAGAATCGAGCTTCCGATGATTTCCGGTCCAAAGCCCGGGGCGTGGAGCTTCAGATCCGAGGATTAACTTCGGGAGCTTAGGGCTTAGGCCAAGGCTCGTGTGCGTCAAGCAGCCCGACGCCCTAAATGTTGCCACACTCTATTATATGCAGGCCTTGCAGAGTACATCTCAATGGAATCGAGTCCCATGCATTACCTGCCTTTCTGTGTCGGCCTTTGCAGCTAAGCCCAACAGTCCGAATTCGAAGCTCAGCACGAGTACGAAGTTGCTTGTACTGCAGCGTCACGGTGCAGTGTCGTTTTGTTTTGAGGCTTCGACTATGCAAGCTGCGAGCCCAGCGCATCCAGGATCTAGAGTTCAGTGGGCCAAAACTGTTGGTGACTGCTTTGTAGAGCTAACTCCTTGATCAAGCACCCAACCTTCAATCGCAGCAGGGTCCCTAGAAAGACTTCGGCAACATGATGTAGTAGTTTTTGGGCTAGTGGGCTCTCTGGAAAATGCCGAGGCCGGAACACCAAGACGCTTGCCGGAAGGTCACGCAAGGCGAATTCGACTTCCTCCGGCGTCGGGTCGGGTCGGAACAAGAAGTGTAACCAGTCGGTGCCCCTAAGGCCTAAGGGTCCAAAAGAGCGATGATTCGGGTATGTAATCATTTGACTTGTTGTTAAGATTGCATTGCGGTAATTTTTAGGGGATCCAAAAGGGATGCACCCACATATCTTTGTGGGGCGGTTGGTGGAAAGCTCTTACTGGCTGCAGAGGCTTGGCAGAGACCCCTGGACCACAACGGAAAGTAGTATTGACGAGCGTCGTGGATTCAGGAGATTTGCCTTCAAGACCTGAACCTCTGCCACACTTAGGCCCTCACACGTACAGTACGGAGATGCTCCTTGGAATCATTGTACTGAAGCTGTCTCTCGTTCCTGTCGACGAAAGCGGGGTTCCCCTGAATTCTCCACAATGTCTTAACAATCCGCTGAGTTCCTTCAATCAAGAGTTTAGGTGTGGATATATGGGACTTCTGAACTGAGGGCTCGGGTTCATTTGCAGGATGTCTTCGCCTCGTATTCGGCAGGATGCTGAGGTGCACACGATTCTCGTCATTGATGGGTCCAAAGGCCCATAGCCTCGGCAGCTTAAGAAAGGATGAATGGCCTGAGGAGTGGAACCCTTGTCCAGAGCGCTAAAGACTAGAACAAGGTCTTGTGTGTGTGAAGAAAATACACACTTCAGACCTTTTGGTCGGGTGCTTTGCAAGGGCTTGGGCGGTGGTGTCTGATTACTGACTAGTGAGTGCTGAGTATGGCTTAGGGCTTACCTGCTCGCCGCCGTACCTGCGAAGCATCGACGGCTGCAGAGTCAGGATGTCCTCGCAACTGAACCCTCTCGGGAAGTGCAGTTCACGTCCTGGTCTGCATACATACCACATGTTGGGATTGCTGAGTTGTTCTGTGATGGGAACTCCATCTAGGTTCGGTGTTTGGGACTAAGACACTCTTTCGACAGCGCTGCTCTTAGTGGGGTGCGACCGGGCCGTCAACTCCGCAGAAACCGTGGCAGACTCTGAATTCCCAGATCCGACCCTGGACCCTAGGCCCTTAAGCATCCAGATCAAGTCATAGCCGCTCATAGCCCTGAACACTCAACCCAGTCAGACCGGGTGGCAAAGGCCACACATCAGCACCGACAGGAACAAGGAGGCTGCCTGACAGTGTCTCTTGGAAACATAGCTTGCGAGTCCTCGACCCGGAATCCCAAATCCCAAACCCCAAACCCTACATGCGTAACCACCAAAGCCTGAAGTTCTACACCCGGAGCCATACCGATCTCTGCCACAACACTTGCGCCTGAACCGCCCAAATGCTTCGGCTTACGGCTTGCAGGGCTCAGAAGCGCTTCTTCGTGTAGCATTCTGTTTGAGAACAAAGTGTCTTATCCGGGCTCACAGGGAAGTCTAATTCAGAGACATGTCGGATTTCGGACAAGTCTTTGGCGGACTTCTGGCGACGATTACTTGAAGCATCCTTCAGAACCAGACAGAGCCCGTTGAGGACGAAGCCTTCTGCGGACCGCACGAGTTTTGAGACCCTTCCTCACCGGTACTATGGGTAGGGTTACAAGTACCTGAAGCTTCGTCTACGGGCAACGCGCAATTCTACCGTAAGCTCTGCGTGGAAGCCGCTACTTCCTGGCTTGTCTGCTCCTGAACTTGTAACCAAAAATGGTACATCTCAACACCGCGAAACCTCAACCCCTAACTCGAGTGCTTGGATCTAGATATCATCAGATAGGGCTTGAAAGATGCTGTGCAGGAAGTCCTTGAGCGACCATCTTACAACGACAACACTTGTACATAACCCTAAATACCCTAAGCTTTGGCCCTAAACCCAATCCTCAAAGACCCTGAACCTTACGTATGTGTGCACTCTGCCTGTTTGAGACGTAAAGATATCTACTCCCCCCCTTAAACCCTAAACCGTTCGGACACCCAGGACTTGTGAGGAAAAGGCGTGCTCCTCGGGGCCGTTTGGCACAAGCGCGGCTACGCGATCGCCTGTGCGGAACGTATGGTTGAGGGTTAGGAGCCTGTAAAAGGGAAGTACTGAGTCCAGGAGTTCTGCGAAGTTGTTTGCGAATTTGGGGTTTAGGGCTTTAGGGGTTCTTGGATTGAGGGTTCCGGGTTAGGCCTCAGGGTTGACGGCTTAGCCTCAAGCCCCGAAGCCCTGAAAACCCGTCCTCAGGGCGTTGGGGTTGTGCAGGACGGCCTGAACCCAACATGCAGAGTCATGACACTGGGATCCCTCTTATCATCTGTCTGTTAAGGGAGAGGCGGTATCTCGAAGTGTTAGAGTTCAAGACAGAACCTGAAACCAACCCTGAGCGCTGGACCGTTAAATGCCTAAACCAACATACCCCGAAAGCCTGAACCTTTGAACCCTAGACCCCCGCGGCCCCGGGGCCTGCAAACCCTGTAGAACCCCAGAGCCCTACACCCTACATTGCCCTACAACCCAGAAGTGCAAGAGAAGGCCTGGCTTCAGCGCTTGGCTTCGGAGGCTCGGGCGAAGTCGCTTCTCGATGAGCTCGCGGAGCCTTTCAGCGGCAACTAGGGACCTACAGGGTTTAGGGCCTTGTTTAGGGTTTGGCTTCATGGTCTGCGTAGGGTTTAGTTCCGGGTTTAGACTTAAGCGGATTCAGGGATTAAAGAATTTAAGATTTTGGCTCAGGGCTGTAAGGATGGAGCATGTAGGGATCTGAGGATTGGGGCTCCGGGATTTAAGGATTTGGGGGTTTCGGGAGTTTAGGATTCGGGCTCACGGGTTTCAGATACTGGAGGTTTGGCAAGATTTACCGAAAAAGCGTTTAGGGTCAGGATACATACAGAGGTCGGGGTTAGGGGTTCAGGCTTTGGGTGTTTAAGTATTGAGGATCTAGGGGTGAAGAGCTCTCAGATTGAACGATTGGGATGTCGGGGTTGAGTATAGGAGTCTGAATGGCGAGTATCGGTGCTTTCTCACGGTAGCTTACATAATCAAACTTCGTTTTCACTATAAGGCCTTTCAGCTCAATTCAGGCTTGTTGTCGGGACACGTGGTTATTTCAAGAGATTCTCGGCAGGATTTGGACTGGAGCTTTAGAAAGGCTTTCGTACTTTGGCCTGTGGCTTGAGGAATCTAAGACTTCCAAGTGCTTTGCTCCTGTAGGCTTCCAGCAGACTGATTGCACTTGTCATGGCGAGCAGGATGGCCATTTGGAGATTCAGTGCTTCACGCAAGCCGCCGAAGTGTGAGAAGGGTGAAGAGCATGCATGACATGTTGTCTGATTGCGCAAGACATGGGAGCAGGCGGCGGGCCTTCAGATATGTCAAGACCTTCAGGCGATAATGGTCATTCGGGGCAAACTTGATTTACTTCTATTGATCCAAATGGCCACATGACTTGGAACGTTCACTCCACGACAAGCCCTGGGGATTCTGACCAGAAAAAACCGGGTCGCATGAATATCTCGAAGCCTCACATGCTGGGACTGCAACCCTTCTAATGGATAATTGAAAACAAACAAAGGTTTGGCCAACTCAACTGCACAGAATACTTCGAAAATGGAAACCTTTCTGCCGCAGCCCGCCATTCCGAGGCCCAAGATTTATCGAAAATCTCAACCTTTCTCACTCAGCCCGACATTCCGAACTAGCGCTGGGGATTCGGCTGCTGGAAGCAAATCGGCGCACGGTCCCGAGAACCGCTCGACACAAGCGGCGTCTGAGTGTCGGCTTTATTGCTGTTCTGGGACGTATAGGGTCTAAGTCTACGGTTTACTCGGAGTTTCAGCAAATAGGGGACGCTAATGCAGACCCCCCAAAAGCGGGATCCTTATTCTACAGACCCCTAAGCTAGTAGGGAATGTTGAACTCGATCACATGACACGCCCAAGGAGATGGCATCAGGGCCGGCGGGAAGTCTCAGAATGTCACGCCTTGTACTTGGTATGCAGGCTGCCCCTAAACCCAACGCCCTGTACCCGAAGAAGCCCTGAACCCTACACACTCAACCTAAGAATCTCTGAAACCCAAATGTCGAGAAACCCTGAATCCTCACAAACAGTAATCCGAAAGGAACTCCGCGCTCTTTGCACCTACAAGGAAGAGCACGTGACCCAAATCCCAAAGACAAAACCAGCCCCACTCTTGGCCCTCAACCCCAACAAACCCCAGCAGAAAAACATATGGGTAGTTCTCTAAATTAGGGTCCATTCTAGGGCCCTTTTTATAACTGTGCCACACAATCTTAGGGACTTAGAGAGGGACCTAATTTAGAGCACGACTCATACATCGGACGAGACGCCAAAGGCTGCCGTTCCCGGAAGTCAGCCCAAGTTACAAAGCGCTCGGTCCTCGGATCTGCGACCCCAAAGAACGTATCAACACCAAGTATACAGAAGAGCGTGCAATGCAAACATCCTGCTCATGATCGAATTTTCGGAGGGCTTCGGCTTCAGTGTCTGGGGGTTTAGGAACTCGTGTAAGCCTTGTGGCTCCAGGATCTGGAATTTCAAGCACAGCTTGGAGTGAGAGTAGTGCAGTTGCTTGATAATTTGGGATTACCTATACTAGAAGAATATGGAAACTAAAATGCATTATGGTTACCAATTATTCCCAAGCCAGACCGCATACAACCCATCAAACACCTTGTATCGTTGCCAAGTCTGGCGACCCCATTTTGTTCGGGGTGTCGAAGATTGCGCAGCGATCCCTCTCCCCAGAACCCAGGGGGATTCGTCGTTCAGAGTTGAAGGTTGAGGGCCATATGTCTGTTTCATATGCACTTCACACTTTCGGGCTTTGCGAAATACCAAAACGCAGCATCTTGAGGCCGTGACCAAAATGCCCAAAACCGCAAGCCTCACGGCCTCACGCCCTACATACCCGTGTATAAGTATTTACACATATAACTTCATATAGCCAATAGAATCGTGCACGCCTTTACATAAATGTGGGCATACATGAACGTAAATGTGAACATGAAAAGGCGAAAATGCATGTATATGTGAACATATTCATGTTTAGTTTGTATGTGTATACATGATGTGGATATGTACATATAGATATAGGCGGATGCAAGTGTGTGTGTGTGTGTGTGTGTATGTGTATATATATATATATATATACATACACACACATGTATGTACATGTGTACACACTTCCCCTCTCTGCCTATGTGTGTACGAGCATGTGGTGTCAGTATAACATGCATGCATACATACACGCATTCATACATACATACATACATACATACATACATGCATACATCCGTGCATACATACATACGTGCATACATGCATACATGCATACATACATGCGTAAATATAAATAAATAGACAATATGTATATATATATATGCACAGGCATAATATGTAGATGTGGAACGTCCCAGTTCGACAGTTTCCTGTGCGCGAGTCGAACAGCTAAAGCCAGAAATCCGTAATCTGTCATCTGGAAGCGAAACCTTTAAACCTAAGGCCTATGCCCTAAACTCTGAAAGCCGCAATAACCGAGGTGCTGCAGCACTTCATCTGCAAATCTTTGGGCCATCCATGGCGGAGACATGGTTCAGAGGCGTCGAACGTCACAACACATTACTCAGGTCCTCAGGTTCAGGATCCAGTGTAGGGGCCTTAATAGCTGGAATATGTTGTTCGGGTATATTATCGCATGGTCCTGTAGGCACCATACGGGAATGATGCTACTAGTGAGTAGTTATCCAGTTATCCAGGCCGTGTATTCCTCCTGATCTTAACATACACGCTGTACACATTAGAGACTCCGCAGCACAGATGTGATCTACGCAGACGTCCTCGTCATGCACTGGCTTCAACTCAGAAGCTCACCCTGGCACTGAAGTGTAAACTCGAAGTCACTTGAGCCTTAGAACCCTAGATCGTAGATTCGGGACCCGGGAAACCCACACCGAAAATGAAACTCCTCCGCCCGAGGCTTCATGAGTAAGTAGCTTTGTACAAGCTATCTATATCTCTCGATATGCATATTACTGTACTATGCTGTTTGTACATACACATTGGTACATGTGCTTAGAAGAGGGCTATCATGGCGAACCGACTGCGCGGCCACATCAGGGTCAGAGTCAGGGAATGGTTGCTTACCTCTCATCAACACTGAGACATGGTCTTCGGACAAGTGTTGCGAACGG